GAACAGCTGCATGTTGCCGTCTGCGAATCGAGCATCAGTCCTCCGAGTCTCCCCTGTGAACTCGAAACAGCGAAGGAAGCCGTAAAATGCAAGCAGCATACATGCTTGTTACAGCAGACGGTATGTCGGTTGAGTAGTTCCGTCAACTGGCACACATCCACTATTTTGCAGAGCACAGGCATGGTAATAGGAAAGCGAGGTGTGATAACAGCTGTGCCATGGCACCGTCCAATGCCCTTTACTACTCGTTTCAGCAGCCAGGCATCTACCAGCGGATCACCCAAGCCTTGTTCAATTTGGGCGTTGCGCACCGCACTGAGGTACACAGAGATAGTACATGGTCTTACTGAGCGAGCGAGGAGTGCGGCAAAGCAACTTAGCTGATAGTAAAGAGCTGGGAAGGGTTTCCAGAGGAACAACTGGCAGTAAGCACTCTATCTGCTCTGCTTTCAATTTGGGCGTTGCGCACCGCACTGAGGTACACATAGATAGTACATGGTCTTACTGAGCGAGCGAGGAGTGCGGCAAAGCAACTTAGCTGATAGTAAAGAGCTGGGAAGGGTTTCCAGAGGAACAACTGGCAGTAAGCACTATATCTGCTCTCACCGGTCGAATAGGTGCGCCGTGTGTTCTTTGGCAATGGCGCATGCAGCGTAGTAGCTTACATCCCCATGCACTGGGGCCATATCACGTTGTCCGGCGGTTCTTGGCGCTGGGAGCGAGCCGCCGAAATGCCTGCACAGAGAAGCGTGACAGAGAATCAGCAATCAGGTTCTTGTTCCCTGCAATATGGATGGCTGAATTAGTAAAGTTATGTTTGGCGCAGACAAAGAAAAGTCCGCGGAGTAGTTGCATCACTGGGGCTGATTTGCTACTGCCCGACTTTACACAGTCCACGACTGCAGCATTGTCGCAGTGATAAGGATACGGAGCTTTGCCCAAGCATGGCCCCAAGTGGCGCAAGCGACTAGCAGGGCATACAGCTCCTTCCAAGTGATGTCTCTCTCCACTTCTTCTCGGGTCCAAGGCCCGTTGATCCACGGGCCGTTGTTGTAGGCTCCCCAGCCACGTGAACCGCTCGCGTCTGTGTAGAGTTGTAGATCTGGCGATGGAGTCCAGTTGGGGTGCAAGAAGAACGATTTACCGTTCCAGTGTTGCAGCAGGTGCTGCCACAACCTGATATCTTCCATAGCATCAGAGTCCAGTAACGCAGTCCAACTCTATTCCAAGAAATGTAAGACACTGAGCAGAGCCTTCTATCTTGTCTGGGGCCAGGGGTACGCCTAAGAGCATGAATGCGCGGAGCAAGATAGCCAGCTGGCGGTTAGCAAGAGAAAGGCTAGAAACGGAGTTCAGAAAGTCATCTAAGTAATGCAAAAGATCACTTATGGAGAAATGATGCTTTATGATCCATTCAATAGCATCGGCAACGGTGTTGAAAATGAAGTGACTAGAGCGCTAACCAAAAGGGAGCACTTGTTCGTAATAGTAACGGCCTTGCCAAAAAATACCAAGCAGCGGGTAATCTTCGATGCGTACTGGGATCTGCCTGAAGGCGCTCTTGACATCCAATTTTGACAGATAAACTAGAAGGGGTCAAGACATAATCATATTGATGGCATCATCAATAGTAACATACCGTATTTCCCCGTGAGTTAATTCTCCCCAACGACTTAGTACCCCCCCCCCCCCCTATAAAAAGTACACTTTCCACTGCCGAGGTTATCACCCCGAAAGACAGTTCCCCTCGAAAGATAGTAAGTTCGTACCCGTCCTATATATACAGACACCGTACAGTACATACATCATATGCACGGACACTAGAGTTGCGCAGGCTTCCCGCTGCGTGTCATTTACCCCCGATAAAAAAGTACTCCCCAAAAGATAGTACCACCCCCGAAAGTTAGTACTCATGTGGCTGCTAAATTCAAAAGTTAGTACGTACTAACTTACGAGGAAATACGGTATTGCAGCGAGAATATGTCAGTAGGTATGCCGTCATTGACACTCGTCCCGAGTAGGCTAGACAGGTGGTGGATCATGCGCATTTTGCCGTTTTTCTTTGGCACTGCACCGACGCCCGAGCAATGCATAAACGAGAAAGGGGGTGAAGTGAAGGGGCCAGCAGTTTCTCTTCAACTACAGGAGACAGCTGACTGGTCTGATATAAACTGAGCGTGTTTAGCAGCGGAAGGGAGATTAGGAGATTTAATGTTAACAGTAGGATCACCTGAAAAGCCAATATCGAAGCCATGATGCAAGCCATGCAGAACATATCGAGAAACCTGTGGGTCGGGGTGGGTAGATAGCAAGGAAGAGAAGCGGGTAACATGCAAAGGTGAGCGGAATGTGGAAGTGTGGAGAGTAATGGCTGTACGCAAACTATCGGAGTTTCTGACCTTACTGAGAAGTGGTTCGGGATTTGGTCCCAGCCTTGGGGCACTGTTGGCGAGAATCAATGGTTGCCGCCGCATGTGTTGCAGACATGGTGGAAGCGGCAGGACGACTTGTGTTGGCACTGGCCAAGTAACAGCAGATGATTCGGCCGCTCTCAGAACGGGTGAGCGTGGACCCGTGTTGATACTGCTGGGGGCTTCTGTTCGGACGAAAAGGACACTGACTGGACGGAGGGTGCACGGTGTGGCATACTGGACATGCTGGTCTGGCCTTACCCGTGACGGATAGCTGCCACAATTTGTTGTCAATAATGTCAAGGCGCTTGCCTGGCTGGAGCGAGGCTGACAGCCGAAGTTGCTGGTCATAGCTGAGCCAAGCAGCTGGCAGATACTGGCGGTTGGCTTCGAGGATGATGGACTGGTACACCAACAATTCATGGAGACGGTGTGGTGCGTGAGAACAGACAAGGTCAAGGTCAAGGTCCAGGCCTCTAGCCATGTTGCGATGTCGTGTACCCGCCGTTTGACTTGGCGACCGTCGCTGGTTTCAACCAGTTCCAGCCAGTTCCAGCGACTGCTTACTTCCCCCAGACTGATTGGGGGGTACGAAGCTCGAACGAGCGGGATTCAGGTTGAGAGACAAAATTGCTTAGCCCCTCTGGCAACAGTAAGTTCACCTCAATGAACTCACCTTTCACGATGCGATCTTGAGGTGACTTGGGCACGAGAAGGTGAGCTGCTGCCGAGGTTTCGGTACTGCTAGCCGCCGGCGAAGGCGCAATGGAGCTCAACCCTGGGATAGAAGGAGCAAGATTGGACTGGGTGACAGTTGCCGTGGATTGAGAGGTCGCCTCCGGTGCTCCCAACAACGCTGTGCCGATTGCAGCTGATACTTCTTCGCGCACCAGACGCCGCAGTTCCTGCTGAAAGTTGTTACGATCCGAATTATCTGGGTCCTCCGTAACAGCAACAGCAGCCGCAGAAGCGGCAGAAGCCGCAGTAGCAGGAACAAAATCCTCACGTTCGTCTACGGCTCCCTCGAGTTGGTTTATCAGGACCGATTTGGTGCCAGATGGGTCTAGGCCGCGCATTTCGAGCTGTTCACGCAGCTCGGCGACACTCAATCGCTGCAACGACTGATTTGAACTCATCGTATGCGATGTTCAAGGAGAAACAGCTACGAGGCAGCTACGAGGCTACGGACAAAAGGTTGGCAGCGAGGAAAAGCTAGGAGCTGAAGAAAAAGCTAGGAGCAAAGGAGAAAAAGCTAGGAGCAAAACTATGAAAGCCAGGCAACAGCAGCGAACTCTACTTTCACAAAGGCAACACTAAAAGCAAGGCACGTGGGAAACGTTTGGAGCAGGAGAAATACTAAGTGTGAGCTGCGACCTCTCTTGGCGCGGTTTCGGAGCTGCGCTGTAGATTAGCACCGTGAATCTGCGTGATTGATTAGTGTAATCAAGCTGCCGGCCGGCAGGTGTCCATGCGGCGCTAACACGCTCTAGCCGCTGGCTAGTGCGCCAAACATCACCTGGAATCTATCTAAAAGTATACCGGGGTAATGCTTATGCTTCTGTTGAGTATGAATTATACCCAATATTCTCCAGACACAATTCACAATGGGGCAGGTAGGTGGAACGACATTTATTAGGGTAGACGAAGAGACGGAGACAAAGACGAACTACTACGGCTACATTATGATTATTGACGAGAGCGAGATTATTAAAGAGAGAGAGATTATTGAAGAGAGAGAGAGAGAGAGCTCGACAGAGAAACAACGCAATATAAAGGGCCTGGGTAGCTATGGCAAACACGGGCGCGCAAGTAGCTACCCAGGCCAACGGAACGAAAGGTGAGTATGACGTAGTACGGGTGCATGCAGGCCGGCCAGCTTAGGAAAGATTTGAATTCTTTATTCTCACGAGGGCACCATCGCCAATAAGAGATAAATTTATGAGAAGGTGAGATTGTGGGTTATGCAGTTGAAAAGTGATTTACAACACTTTGAATTTTACAAGTATGGGAGAGGGTAGGCACTGCAGGAGTGGATTGAGTTAATCAGCAGTGAGCAGATTTCTTGTTTGAAAGCAGGCCGGGAGGAGACGTCACGTATGCTAGCAGGAAGGGCATTGTAGTATTCTAGGACTTGTACAGTGGGGAGTCTTTACAGCGATCGGTTCTGGAGGGTGGCAGGTGCCAAGTGCGTGCGTGTTGAAGGCTGTACTGGGCAGTAACTTGAGCGGGGGTGTTGAGCATGCGTATGCGTTGTGGGGCATATTGGTATTTTATGGAGTGGGCAAGAAGGGTGAGCTTAACTTTGCGGCGAGAGAACAGTGTCCGTCATTTGAGCCGATGTAGCAGTGTTTCAAATCTTTATTCTCACGATAGCCAGTGGCCAATAAGAGATAATAGGGTAAGAAAGGAGAAAGAGTGAGGAAGAATTGGGTGGGCAGGGCGTAGGGGTTAATGACTACTTAAGTGTACGGGCAGGGGTGGTCGCGTGTTGTAGGTAAGATTGTACGGGAGGAGATACCTAATACTTCACTCTTCTGATTGGATGCTGGCATGGAAACATTCCGGCTATATGCTAATCTAAATTAACTTACCGGTGCAGTTTGTACCAGTTCCCTCAAAACCAGTGTTACATTTACACGTGTATGAACCCATTGAGTTTGTGCATGTAGCATTGTCATGACACACATGCTGCAAACTGGTACATTCATCAATATCTGAAAATTCAAAATTCTGTACTCATTAAAATGCACTTCGTTTCCGAAGTCCTCCGAACAAATTCCAATAATCTCAGGACGGAACGAGAGAGCTTGGAAGCTCAGGGCCCTAAGCTATGCTTTTTTCCCTAGCTCATCGTGCATGTTATTAGAACTCATGGAAATGTTTTTTCCTTTGATTGGCTACATAATTGTATTGCAAAAACGTTTCAATCAGGTTGAATATGAGTTAGGCAAAAGTATTTGCAGAATTTATTGCGGATTGTAATTTTTCTCTCACTTCATCCACTTTTGGTTTGCTCCTTTTTTCTCCATTTTATCTCCATATAATCGGATTTTCTGGCTTTTTGTAGTAATACATTGACCTGTTGAGCCAATGAGGTAAAATTATATTCCATGCAATACGATACAATACAATAATACAATAATGTCCTTACCTTGATAGTGTGCTTGTGCTAAACTGTTGCTGACGGTCGAGTGCATGGTTGCCTGTGGAGCTAATTACAAAACTTTACAGTCTCCTATAATACGCATCCTGTCCAACAGCAAAAGAAGCTGCAGATTTAGTTTTTCTGCACGTTATCAGCAATGACTACTGGTCTTCAGCAACTTGGGTCTCCTGTAATATGGATTCTGTCTATGCTTTCTTAAGAGAGCATGTCTGAGAATACCAAAGTATGTGTGCAAGTGGATCTCTCCGATTTCGCTCAAAATTTGCAGGTAGGTTGCCTTTGGGGTGTGGATCGACTGTGCAAAGCCCTTGAAAAAGTTTCTGAAGGGAACCTTGAAATTTGCATACCCCTCAAAAATGGCCGAAATATCACATTATTTATGTGTCTAGAAACGAGTCACGCCACAGCGTATACGAACAAGCTATGAACAAAACTCCATCAAGCCAACATTGCCTCACCTTAGAAGAGTTCCTGGAGCAGTACCGCTTAGCCACGCCAGCATCCCAGAAGACGAGGTCCATCACCCCCTGACGCCACAAATGATCGTCTTGAAAATAGCCAATTTACAAGCGCTGGCAAAACAGCCAGCTACGTCCTCAATTGGCCAGAACTATACACCGGCAGATAGTAGAACACCTCTTCTAGCGCTGAGGACATGTCTCCCATCTTCCTTTTGGGGTTTTCTTGAAATAAACTTTTTTGAATTTTTCCACTCGACCATGCTGAAATACGGCCAAAGTCCTGCGCAGGAAAGCTCGCCCCTCCGCGACGTCTCCTCAGCAATTTCTACTCCAACACTACTCCCAAGGCCGCAGAACAAAGTATAGTGTTGACTCTGACAAGGAAAAGCAGCGGTGATCACTTGTCACTCCAAACGACAAGCTTCTCCTTGCGCCACCAATAATTTTTTGTGCGACTGTTGATGCAAAAGTGACTGAAGGCCTGAGCGCATTCGAGGTTAACACGACACCGTCTACCACATTGAAGAAATAGGCAAAAAAGGCATAGGGATGTTATTCAATCTGTGTGGACCCTGGCTAGCGCCAGACGTTACGTCCTATCACCAATTCGGCAACTAACGTCCATTCAAATTGCCAATTGTTGTGAAATGGCGCTTTCCTTGCATCAAATTCTTTCTTGGCATGCCAAAGAAGTTTGAGAAAGTGAGCGCGACTCATTTCACAGCAGTTTGTGCGCAAAAACAGTAAATACGAAAATATACGTAGTGCACCAACGTGTTCCTTTAGCTTAGACGAGATTTAACCAACCGCAGTTTTCCATCTATAATGTTCATGGGAGACTTCAGTGAGCAGCCAAAACCTGATGAAGAACAGCATAATTTATGCTCCAAAAAAAATTTGGGCAAGGATGTACTGTCAGGGGCATAGCAGTCGGTCCGGCCGGTCCGTCTTTGGCAGGACCACCTTTTCGCCCGATCACGCCCAGAATTCAGAATTTTGCACTCTACTTCCCAAACTTTTCCCTGGGGAAACCCCCGACCACCTCAGGCCGGACCACCTCCAAGGGCAGTGTTACGTGCCTGACTGTACAAGTAACATGACCAATGATTGTGCAATGTAGTAAGTTACTGAGCATTAGATTCTGTAGTCTGTAGCCTAGTGTAGGCCTGGAAGATATACCTGGAATGTAATCATTTTGTAATGTTGGATAGCTAGCTGCATGACATACATCATCAGTGACATATACCATGTGATCTCCCCCCCCCCCCCCAGCCAAATCCTGGACAAGCCACTGCCGAACAAGTTACCACGGAAGAAGAAAAATACAAGATCACTATCAAAAGAACAAAGCACAAATTTCAGGTTTTTCTTGGAAGATTGTTGGTTTGCACCTTGGAGAAGTGTTGGGGCTAGGTGTCAGGTCGCCGAATGTCTCAGTACTCCTTGTCAGTTTTGTGCCATTTTGCCGCACTCGCTGACTGTAGAAGATTCTGGTTACGTTGGTGGACAGTTAGTCATAACTCGTTACATTTTGTCCTTCTCCTTTTTCACTATAATTAAATTGGCTCACCATCCTAGTTTAAATAATTTTTCCTGCCTTTTACTAAGGTGATGTAAAAGGCAAAGAAGACAGTATGTAATAGCTATGAAAAGTATGAATGCCGCAGACATCACCACGCAACATGACAATTTGTTCAAGGTTTGGTTTTGTGTGTTTCCAAAATCAATTTTCACGCTCCGATCATCTGTGGAAATACCTCTACTACCGACACAACCAGAGCAAGTCGAACACACGGTGCAGAGGAAGAGTGGTGGATCACTAAGCCAACCGAATGTGCCTTCTCCACCGTTGCCCTTGCCGCCACCGGAGCCACCACCAGTGCCGTTGGTGGCTGGGGTTGGGGAGGAGTCGGCAACAACGACAGTACCGCCAATCACAGAAATTGATCCCATTTCTTTGACACAGTATCCGGCTGCGTGGACACCGCAGCACCCTCCGGCGCTTGATCCGTGGGTCCAGAGACCACGGAAGTCGACCGCCAATTATTCAACCGAAATATATGCTAGGAATGGCCAAGGCCCACGCGGAGCATCGAAGGAGACCGGAAGCCGGGGGCAAAACGAAACACAATCTCGGGACGTAGATGAGGTAAGGACAGTGGCACGGGACAGACGTAGGAAGGAGAACATGGATGGTATCAGACGACTGACTGGTGGTGAATATGAGTTGGGTGATGATGCGGCGGATGATGAGGATACAGATGACGACGAGGTGGATGACGGCGAGGATACAGATGACGACGAGGCGGGTGATGACGTGGCGGCGGATGACGACGAGGCGGATGACGATGAGACGGCTGGTGGTGATGGTGATAAAACGGACGAGGAGGAGTCAGGTGGCAGGGAAGGTGATGGAGCTGATGAGGGTGAAATTCGTAAGAAGTCAGCTGTGTACTTGCATTTGTTATCTCGTCCCGATTGTTCGAGTGTTTATGATGATTCCCACTTCTCTGTACTGTGTCGTGTCCGTTATGTCCAGCAGTTGAAGGTCCTTGAAGCTGTTTGTATTCGTACGCATAAGCCCGATTTGTGTAAGCAAAAAGAACATGTTTTAGCACTTAAGTTATTTTCGTGAGTTTGCACCCCGTGTTCATGAGTTGTTTCTGCACTGTTCATGCCCGTTTGTCACACTTACTCTTTATTTTAGTTCTCACTTTTTTGTAATACTTACCACAAGTTACCCGTCATGTGTCACACTTCTTTGGATTTGTAACCTTTGTTTTTCCCTTGATCTCTTTAGTTCCGTATTTCCACTGATGATCGGAGCGTGAAAATCGATTTTGGAAACACACAAAACCAAACCTTGAACAAATTGTCATGTTGCGTGGTGATGTCTGCGGCATTCATACTTTTCATAGCTATTATTAAACTTTTATATCCACGTAGATTATTTGTAAGATAATGTCCAAGGCCTTTTTACAGCATCTGAGGAAAAGGCATGAAAGTTTACTTCTGCAACGTTGGTATTGGAGGACACGAAGTTTGTGCTCCTTCTTAGTGCTCTAAACCAAGAATCTGAGTCCTGTCATTTTTCAAACCCAATTCCCAGTTGCACTACAGTTCATTCACAAATAATCAATCTCTGGGCTTTTGAAATCTGCTTTTGACTGAATTCAGCTCAAGAACATTATCCACCTTTTCAGGAAATGGATACTAAAAACTGAATTGGAAGAGCATTTTTTTCAGCCAAAAAAAGTTCCATCAATGCTTGGTCGCACAGATGGTGACTTTAATGCACATTGCGTAGAAATGAATGGTGTGGCGGATCGGTTATTTGATTTGTGTGTTTTTTTGGGTTTTTGTGAATGACTTTTCTTGTGCTCTTGCTCTGATGTTTCTACGGAATCCCTTTTCTGTTGGAATAAGAGAGCTTGAAAGGTCAGGGCCCTACTCTATGCTTTTTTTGCCTGGCTGATGACGGTGGTGGCAGAGGTGCGTGAATTCGTCCCTGTACTGTGTACGAAAACGTCAGTCCTGTTGTTAGTGCCTTACTTACTAAATCCGTTGCTGCTCCGGCAGTTGCTGCGCCAGTCACCAGTGCTCCTGTGCCCGAGAAGTGTTCATGCAAGCTGGCGACCAACTGGGCAGGCATGACTCAAGCCAGCGTCTTTGGTGGCAAGTGGGCTGGAACATAAGCTAATTCCAGATGTGGCATCTTTTCGTTTGTTGACCAAAATGAAAGCTTAGAATGGTTCCATTGCTCATCATGAATGCTATTAGAACTAGTCAGCTACATCTGTGTAATGAAAAAAATGTTTCCATCCATTACAATAACATGCATCGTGTATGTATAGGTTCGAAAAATCCCACCGTTGCTGCAGTCAGTGATTGATTTCTATGATCCTGGGCTCTGTGGAAAGCTGTGGGTTTACTCTGTCAATGCAATGTGGCCAGAAACAAACAGGCGCAACAATGATGCCAAGCTAAAGTAACTTACCGTTGCAGCTGGTACCAGTTCCCTCAAAACCAGTGTTACATTCACATGTGTATGAACCCATTGAGTTTGTGCATGTAGCATTGTGATGGCAGTCATAGTTCAAACTGGTACATTCATTAACATCTGAAAAATTATGTAAAAATCACACCATTAGCGAACAGTATTTGCCAACATAATCGATAGTACAGAGCATCAACAAGTCGAGTTTCGGCAGTTTCGGGTGAAATTCGAGAATCGTCACGAAATGCACTTAATCGGGGTGTGTTAACCCTTTACCAGCCGCAGAATTTAAAATAGCGGTGTCCACTAGATTGAGAATAGAGACTAAACGGTGAATAATTTGTATTGACACCTTTATAGTTCTTGAAAGCTGGTAGAATTACCTTTCATATGAGACTGGAAACAAGCGGATAACCTGTAGCGTCGTTGCCAGTCATGGCGAACAATAATTCAAGCAATGCGGCCGGATTAGCAAATCGAGGAACATAGCGGTGTCCACTAGATTGAGAATAGAGACTGAACGGTAAATAATTTGTATTGACACCTTTATAATTCTGGGAAGCTGGTAGAATTACCTTTCATATACGTTTGGTTGGTCACATTCCCAATCAAAAATGATAATGGCTGCCACGAGCCAAACAATGTAGCAACAGGTTCAAGTGCCTCAAATCATGCACTCAGAAGTACCAGGCTCTCTCAAGGAAACTAGAGTTGGGTAAAAGAAAAGACAGCCGCCGTTCCACAACGACATCATGGAATTGTTATATCAAGTGATTCTTTATTGATTCTGGCGCGTTAGTTTGGTCAGGTGATTCTTGCCGATTCCCATTCCAGAATGGTTTTCATTTACATTCTGAAAATGCCCAACCAAACGCAACCTAAAGTTACGTTTAGTTGGTCACATTCCCATATGGGAATCACTTGGAATCACTCGGAATCATTCTCGCCCGTTTGGTTGGTCAAAAAAGTGCGTTAGGTTGGTCACATTCCACATGATTCCAGAATGGGAATCGCTGAGAATGATTCTTTTTGGAGAATGAATCGGAATGGGAATCGGCAAGAATCACCTGACCAAACTAACGTGCCAGAATCAATTAGGAATCAGTTGATATAACAATTCCATGATGTCGTTGTGGAACGGCGGCTGTCTTTTTTTTTACCCGACTCTAGTTTCCTTGAGAGAGTCATGGTACTTCTGAGTGCATGATTTGAGGCACTTGAACCTGTTGCTACATTGTTTGGCTCGTGGCAGCCATTATCATTTTTGATTCCGGAATGAGAATGCTCATTCCAGCATGTGAGGTGGAATGATCATTCTCCAAAAAGAATCATTCTCAGCGATTCCCATTCTGGAATCATGTGGAATGTGACCAACCTAACGCACTTTTTTGACCAACCAAACGGGGGAGAATGATTCCGAGTGATTCCAATTGATTCCCATTTGGGAATGTGACCAACCAAACGTAACCTTAGTTTGGTCAGGTGATTCTTGCCGATTCCCATTCCAGAATGGTTGTCATTTACATTCTGAAAATGCCCAAGCAAACGCAACCTAAAGCTAAGCTGATAACATGAAGCATCGTTGCCATTCATGGCGAATAATAACTCAAGCAATGTGGCCGAATTAGCAAATTCAAGGAACATGAGGATATGTTCTCTGTTCAGCTTCAGCTCATGCACCAGTTCATCTGTGAGCATCATACTCCGGAGAATGAAACACCCTGAGGCAAGAAAACGCACAGGTGCACCGGATGACCTTCTCTGTTGGTGCAGTTAGAGAAGAAGAAAGCAGTCTTGCTTCTCTTGCGATCCTGCTTCCAGCAGACAACACTGTTGACTCTTCCAGACGAACCAGCACATTCTGGAATGTGTACAGAGTGCACTTGTCTGTAGTCAGCTGCTGGTGCTGATATAGCACGCTCCAGAGCTGGTGGTGCAGAATGCATTGGCAGATTGACGAGATGACGAACCAGCTGCTCTCAAAACTCGTTTTGCGAATAGCGCACGGGCCTCTTGATTGCACCTGAATTGGCTTCTCTTGATTGTACCTTAATTGGCTTCTCTCCAAGCAGCAAACAGTTTATAGGCGTTGATGGCCGCTCCCTTGAGGAGATTATAGAAGATCACTTTGTTGAATTTCATTGATTTGGGGAGAATACGGTTGCTACTAGCCAGTTGATCAAATATATCAACTCCTCCCATGTTTGCGTTGTAATGTTCGATGGCCACGGGCTTGCAACATGTCACGTCCTGGAACTCTCTGTTGACTCTTCGTTTTCTTGTGTTCTCTGTGTACTCAGTGGCAGAGGGAATTGTGGACAGCACAGTTACAACTCCTTTCTCCAACCACTGCACATAAACGATGTCGCCGTCATGCTTATAGCGCATGTCTCCCGACGATCCTTTTTTCTCCAACTGTTTCATGCTTTTCAGGCGATCAGGAAATCCACGTTGGTTACTGTGCACTGTTCCGACTAGCTCAGAGTCATTGGCCTTCGGTGCTTGAGCAAGGCTGTGGGACGTATAGTAGTTGTCGGTCAAAATCTGATAGCCTTGCTTCAGGGACGGAGTCATGAGTCGCATGACGAGGTCGTACGTAAGGCCATGTTGACTGACATCCATTGCACCACCGGAGTACATCTCGAAATTGCAGTTGTAGGCTGTGTTGGAGTCACAGAGTGTGTAAGATTTGAATCCCCATTTGACCGGTTTATTTTCACATACACCTTCATGCGCTGGCGACCCTTGAAGCTTATTATTCTCTCATCGAGCAACACCTGTTGGCCGGGCTGCCAAAACTGCATGGATTTAGCACGGATGACTTTCTGCAGTCGATCATCCGGGTCGGCCAAGTCGGAACATTGAGCTACGAGGCAGCTACGAGGCTATGGACAAAACTGTAAAAGGTAGGCAGCAAGGAAAAGCTAGGAGGTGAAGAAAAAGCTAGGAGCAAAGGAGAAAAAGCTAGGAGCATAACTGTGAAAGGCAGGCAACAGCAGCGAACTCTACTTTCACAAGGGCAACACTAAAAGCAAGGCACGTGGGAAACGTTTGGAGCAGAAGAAATACGAGGTGTGAACTGCAACCTCTCTTGGGGCGGTTTAGGAGCTGCGCTGTAGATTAGCGCCGTGAATCTGCGTGATTGATTAGTGTAATCAAGCTGCCGGCCGGCAGGTGTCCATGCGGCGCTTACACGCTCTAGCCGCTGGCTAGTGCGCCAAACATCACCTGGAATCTATCTAAAAGTATACCGGGGTAATGCTTATGCTTCTGTTGAGTATGAATTAGACCCAATATTCTCCAGACACAATTCACAACGGGGCAGGTAGGTGGAACGACATTTATAAGGGTAACGTTAGACGAAGAGACGGAGACAAAGACGAACTACTACGGCTACATTATGATTATTGACAAGAGCGAGATTGAGAAACAACGCAATATAAAGGGCCTGGGTAGCTATGGCAAACATGGGCGCGCAAGTAGCTACCCAGGCCAATGGAATGAAAGGTGAGTATGACGTAGTACGGGTGCATGCAGGCCGGCCACCTTAGGAAAGATTTGAATTCTTTATTCTCACGATCGCCAAGAAGAGATAAATTTATGAGAAAGTGAGATAGTGGGTTATGCAGTTGGAAAGTGATTTACATCACTTTGAATTTAAGTATGGGACAGGGTGAGCGCTGCAGGAGCAGATTGAGTTAATCAGCAGTGAGCAGATTTCTTGTTTGAAAGCAGGTCGGGAGGACACGTCACGAATGCTAGCAGGGAGGGCTTTGTAGTATTCTAGGGACTTGTACAGCGGGGAGTCTTTACAGCGATCGGTTCTGGAGGGTGGCAGGTGCCAAGTGCATGCGTGTGGAAGGCTGTACTGGGCCGTAACTTGAGCGGGGGTGTTGAGCATGCGTATGTGTTGTGGGGCATATTGGTATTTTATGGAGTGGGCAAGAAGGGTGAGCTTCACTTTGGGCCAAGAGAACATTGTCGGCCATTTGAGCCGATGGAGAAGTGTTGTAGTTAAGATTGTACGGGAGGAGGTACCTAACACTTCTGCCTTCTGATTGGATGCTGGCATGGAAACATTCTGGCTACATGCTAATCTAAATGAACTTACCGGTGCAAATTGTACCATTTCCCTCAAAACCAATGTTACATTTACATGTGTATGACCCCATTGAGTTTGTACATGTAGCATTGTCATGACACTTATGTTGCAAACTGGTACATTCATCAACATCTGAAAATTCAAAATTCTGTACTCATTAAAATGCGCTTCGTTTCCGAAGTCCTCCGAACAAATTCCAATAATCTCAGGACGGAACGAGAGAGCGTCAGGCGAAATTGCTGGTCAGTCGGCGACATGCATTTTTCACAAAAATTTGCGTTTCACCAGCTGGGAGAGTATGCGTGTACTCGAGTCTCATCCTGAGCACGTTTTTTTCTTCTTTTTTTCAGCTCCAGTATAGCTGTATTTTTCATTGCAAAGCCGTCCTCGATTGTTGTGTTTGTTGTTCAAACGAAGTGGACATTCAATCATGAAGGCAGAGGACATAGGAGCCTGATTGGAGTTTCTCGTGGCATAGGACGGCCACACAGAGAGTCAGAGACACTTTGCGATTTTCTGAAAATAAAATACCGTACGCACGATGCTGAGATCAATTTGTGCGATATCAAATTGTTTGTGATCCACCACATCGAGCAGCCAGCCGTGCTGCTACCCACAGTCAACTGGGTACGTGTGGCCAGGCACAAGGGGTACATGGATGCGGCTTGGAAGCTCAGGGCCCTACGCTATGCTTTTTTTGCCTAGCTCATCGTGCATGTTATTAGAACTGATGGAAATGGTTTTTTTCCTTTGATTGGCTACATGATTGTATTGCAAAAACGTTTCTATCAGTTTGAATATGAGTTAGGCAGACGTATTTGCAGGTTTTATTACGGATTGTAACTTTTCTCTCACTTCATCAAATTTTGGTTCACTCCTTTTTTCTCCATTTTATCTCCATATAATCGGATTTTCTGGCTTTTTGTAGTAATAAATTGACCTGTTGAGCCAATGAGGTAAAATTATATTCCATACAATACGATACAATACAATAATACAATAATGTCCTTACCTTGATAGTGTGCTTGTGCTAAACTGTTGCTGACGGCCGAATGCATGGTTGCCTGTGAAGCACATTACATAACTTTACAGCCTCCTATAATACGCATCCTGTCCGACGGCAAAACAAACTACAGATTTAGTTTTTCTGCACGTTATCAGCAATGACAACTGGTCTTCAGCAACTTGGGTCTCCTGTAATACGCATCCTGTCTATCCTTTCTTAGCATAATGCTCGGGATAGCACTCGCTACTGATCTTCGGAAACTTGCCCTGACTTTCACTCACAATAAGACTGTTGCAATGTTCATCGTTCCCAAGCGCTTAAATGGTCGTTGGTTTCTCCCACAATTTCATCCTACTGTTGTACAACATGCTATACGACATCCTTTTACCGTGCAACACTGTATTGATGTCTGGCGCGGTCGCCTTCATCTCTGGTGCGGGTGTAATCTAGTGACTTCGTACATGCGTTATAACAAGAGTACTCTTGGTTATATTAATGGACCAATCCCTTTGTCTTGGTTCATGAAAAGGGCAACGCGTGCAAGTAACAGTTAGCTCATGTAAAGTCCATGGTTTTGTATTTACTTGGTATGTGGCAGCTTGTGGGACAGAGAGACTTTTGCTCCCGAGCTTGTGTATGTCAAAAGTGTTTTACGTCGAACATGACGGCTCGCTTTGAATTACAGAATGGCTGTTCCGATAAGAACTCTAACACCAGAAAAATAATAATGGCTACAATTTCCAATCATGCCACAACGAACTGATCGGCTACATCATTGTATTGCAAACAGTTTCCATCTGTTCGAACAACATTCATGATGAGCTAGGCAAAAAAGCATAGGTCAGGGCCCTGAGCGAAATAAATAAACTTTCTCTTTGCATTCGAGGGTAACACGACACCGTCTACCACATTGATGAAATAGGCAAAAAAGCATAGGGATTTTTTAATGGGTAGCCGAGTGGTAGGCGCGGTGAAATCAACAAGAATTACTTTTATTCTACTTTCAGGTACACACCTGAGATATAATTATTAGTGAAAGAAGAAGCGGCAAAATAACTGACTTTCTCTCCGGTGCACACCTGGAGGTTGAATAGCTCGTTATTATCAAAATCTCATCTTCATCAAAACAGAAATGCGCAGCCGCTTTTATGCAGCAGACGCCGTACGCTTACATACGGAGATACACTAAATATACATCAGGCAAAGTTCCGTATTAGTTCCGTACTGCTTGCGTATTGGTCGGGCAGGGATACTACACCCTCCCTTCCTACAGATAATCACGCCCTCGTGATTTTCAAAAAATTAGTGAGGAGTTACGAACAACAGCGTCAACCGGAAGATGGCAAATTATATCGGAAATGATAACGTTTAGAGTAAACAGAAGAAATGAACTGATAACAAATCATAAAATAGAAGTAAAAAGCACACCAGGTTCACACGATCTCACGGGGTCAAAAGGGAAAGAACTGTCCTCCAAATAGGACCTGAAACCACAGCACTCTTGCTTCACGCTGGCACAACCCGCCAGGAACATCGCAGTTCAAAAACCGAACTGAATACACTATAACTATAAGGGGCGTTGTCACACACATTGTCCCACGTTAGCTGGGTAAGCCGTGGCTCACCATGATCAGACGCCTACCAAACTAAACTGGATTCACACACTCGCATAAAGGAAGACTGAAGAGAAGAGGGAGACTGAAGGAAGACAGGAAAGAAAATGCCATACCTGGAATCAGCGTTAGTAACCACGGCGGCGGCTGGAGCTATGGCGGAGGGCGAGCCAGGTTTTATCTTCATCTTGGTTGAGCCGGTGACTCAGAGCGGCTAGCTCGGCGTCAGACAAATGACCTCCCTCATCGTCTTGAATTGTGGTCTTCACATTGTCGATAGTATCGCTTTGCGCGACGTAAAGAGTGATGGTCTAGCCAGGAAGAGTGTTGACGAAAATCTGCATCCCACTACGGAGGCGAAGTACCAAATGAAGAGTGGGCTCCTGCTTCCGACTGCGTGCCGGCGAAAATTAAACGCTGCTGGTCTTGGGGAATACCCTCCTTGTCTTGGGCAGCAGACTGCCTGTTGTCGTCCTCATCAGCTTCGCCATCACCACCGGTAGTAAACATGTAGGTAGCGGGTCGCTTGGAATCGCCATCGGAGTCTCCAGTGGACGCCATGCGGAGGGAAGGGTCATCCAAGCTAGCACCCTGACTGTGCTGCAAGCTAATAAGCAGGGTCAAGTCCAGGAAGGCAAGAAACGTGATTCTCATCATGATTCGTCGCAGGGAGCTGCAGCGGGTTGAGCCATGGGGGTCTGGGGTCGAATCACGTTGTTTTATTTAAAACTACACCGCTGCCACCAATGTAATGGGTAGCCGAGTGGTAGGCGCGGTGAAATCAACAAGAATTACTTTTATTCTACTTTCAGGTACACACCTGAGATATAATTATTAGTGAAAGAAGAAGCGGCAAAATAACTGACTTTCTCTCCGGTGCACACCTGGAGGTTGAATAGCTCGTTATTATCAAAATCTCATCTTCATCAAAACAGAAATGCGCAGCCGCTTTTATGCAGCAGACGCCGTACGCTTACATACGGAGATACACTAAATATACATCAGGCAAAGCTCCGTATTAGTTCCGTACTGCTTCCGTATTGGTCGGGCAGGGATACTACAGATGTTATTATAGCTGTGTGGACCCTGGCTAGCGCCAGACGTTACATCCTATCACCAATTCGGCAACTAACGTCCATTCTAATTGCCAATTGTTGTGCAATGGCGCTTTCCTTGCATCAAATTCTTTCTTGGCACGCCAAGGAAGGTTGAGAAAGTGAGCGCGACTCATTTCACAGCAGTATGTGCCCAAAAACAGTAAGTACGAAAATATACGTAGTGCACCAATGTGTTCCTTTAGCATAGAGGAGATTTAACCAACCACAATTTTCCATCTATAATGTCCATGGGAGACTTCAGTAGTCTTGGTAGTCACTGGTCTCTTCGTCGTCGCTTGAAATCATCCTGCCAGTCTTCATCCCAGATTGGCTCGTGTATTCTGGCCTCGCATTCCAGCTCTTGCATAACGCATTCTGCACTGAACCTGTCATTGGCGTCCAGGTGCAGAAGGTTCGTAACGAGGAAGTTTGCGAATTGCGGCAGGTTGTGGGAAATGAGTTTCTGGAACTGCAGAGGATATGGGTTGGGGCCGAGGTCTTCCGGTGTGCCCTTATCCGGCAAGTTTACCATAAAATAGTGGACGTCTTGATTGCTCGTGTTGGGGACACTCCAGGGTAGCTTGAACGTCCTGATCAACACTTTCAAAGACATCACACCAAACTGCCACATGTCCACGAAGGGACCCAGATTCAGTTCGGCGCCCCTCGGTAGGTGGGTCACCTCGGGACAACGAAACTGCAGCATGTCCGCGAACAAGCCTATGCCTCCTTTCAACTGACGCCCGCTTGTAAGCTTGGCTGAGCCGAAGTCAATCTCCTTGGTGCTGAGCGTGCCGTTCAGCGCTACGCCAACAGCAAAGCTCGACGACTTTATGTCTCCATGCAAAACGCCGATGCTATGTAGGTACACAATGCCCTTGGCAGCGTCACCTAAGAGCTTGACGCGCCTGTTGTAAGTAGCTCATGATTGTGTTTACTACTGTTTTAACTATTTTCCTCAAAAAAATGTCGTTCCCTCAGAAGTTATTCGCTGATAAATTTTTTAGGAACCTATTTCTCTCTTTTTTCCACGTGGACGCGGAGTCTTTTTCAAGTAGGGGTGGTATGTTAGGTTCACGATCTCACATATGCACGCACTCGCACACTCGTATGCACTCGCACACTCGTACGCACTCGCACACTCGTACTCACCTTTACTCTCGTACTCACCTTTACACTCCCGTGCTCACCTTTGTTTCCTTTTCTTACCTTTTCTTCCGTTGGCCTGGGTAGCTGGATTCGCGCTCTAGTACATTCATTTCCATAGCTACCCAGGCCCTTGATAAGCTCTGACTTGGACATTTCTCACTCTCTTTTCATCGAATCTCAAGACTAAGACTATTTGACCTTCGTCCTCTGTGACTGTCCGCGTGTGTGACCCGGTGATCTTTACAGTACCATCGCCTGGAATGCTAGATTATCGAGAAGCTGATAAGCTCTGATCTGCCATACTGGCTAGAGAATGTTCGCCAGAACAGCCATCGATTGACTCATCTGGGTGCTTTCCTTCTTGTTCACGATGCGAACAAGTTACGCACACGGTGACAAGAAACATAAATATAACTTGGCCTGACCTAATAGAGCATAAAAAGTCGATTATATAGGAAACATAAGTCAACATACAAACCTCTGCCTCGGTTTTTATGCAGGTCTATATCGCCCATATAATGACTACGTATTCTTATGCTTCTAGTCTAGTCTAGAGAAGAAGGTGAGCAGAAGCTTTCGGTTGTTAAAAATGCTGCGTTGACTACCCCACCACCATTTTTGTTCATGTAATAGCTTGGCTCCTGTAACAACCATGACTTTGCTGGCCAAATAGCTGAAGCTGCAGTCAATTCACTTATTATCTCATGTTTTCAGTGCCCCTATATTATAGCTTCAACAATTCGGTAGCTCCCCCCTCGATCTCTCTCTCTCCCTGGCTTCCCACCTCTTTCCTTAGTGCGTCTAGGTGGC